TGCTCTGTTTCCACAGAGTGTTAAACCTGGTGGCACAGAGGGTCAGTGTTGAGCGAGTGGGGAGGGCTGGAGGGATGTGGTCAGCTGAAAGGAACATGCTGTATTTTGTGTCTGTTCCCAGAACGTTGAATTTTGCAGGCTGTTGGAGAGAACAGTCTGCAGGAAAGGACGACGAACACAAGCATTAATCTGTCAACTGACTTTTTAGGTTTAGTGTAAAACTGTCCCAAACTAGACACCAGAAAATTTACCATAACACAGGTTAGCATCTTCACGTTGTATAAAAAGAACCAGAAATATTCCTTTCACAATAATACACTGGACTCAGCACGTGGTTCTTATGTGTGCTTGATGAATAATTTATTAAATATTAAACAATTATAGCAATTGTTGACGATTAATTCGCTTTGAGATGAATGGATCGATGATATGCTTTGGGGAAAATGAACAATGTGTATAATAATGTGTAGTGGAGCGAATGTTGAAGATGATTACAACAAATAATTAATATGTGAAAGGCTTATTTCAACATTAGATAACTTTGTATAAACTTACAGTATGTGGTATTAAGTTGCCCCTAACTTAATACATCTGTTTATGTATTTATACCCCTAAACACCAAAAAGTACAACAGTGGTGTGAGACAGAGGCTGCCATTCTCCTTCACCTCATCCTGAAAAGTTTCCCAGCATTATTTGAACATGAGCTGCAGGGAAAATACCAAATTTGAACCCTTTTGATCATCTCATTTTACCCATCCAGCTACTCTGCAGTTGTTCCTACCAGCGATGCAAAGCACTCGCGACACGCAGCTGCTTTTGCATCGAGTTGTTTCTATTGTTAAAGGAGAGCCTATGTGATGCACTCACGCAGCGGGACTGCAGACTTCCCCTCCACACGGAGAGCCGACATTTATCCTGGCCTGATGACTCACTGAGCTACATGAGTCTTACTGCTTCTATATAAATACAGATGCAGTTTTATTTGTGGTAAACGAAAGCACGCACACGCACCATCTTCATGTGAATATTAAATATATAAAGATGCAGAATCTTCTGAACTTTGAGACTGTAGCTTGACCTACATCACAGACTTTTTTTTGCACATACTAGCGGGAAAAACTTAAGCTCTAGATCTGCTAATAAGAGCTGTGGGAACAGTTTGCAGATCACTGCTGCAACTAACCACACAAGCTGCTGTACCTTGTCAAAAAATTTCCTTTTACTTTGATTTTATGAAACCAGTTTATTCTCAAAGCTGAAATTCGCTCCGTGCTCTCTCCTGGTTGTGTACACCAAATGAAATCAGGCTGGAAGTTTGGCTCCATTAAACTAATTGGTCGAGCACAGTGGAAGTGTGTTAATCCGGTTATGCTTCAAATGATTAGGGACTCAATCTAGTCAAGATCATCAGACCTAAGGCAGAAATCAATTCAATATTAATACTGCTTTCCAGGGAGTCGTGGGTAAAGAGGTATGAAATAAGTTAAATCTCATTAGCCAGTCGTTAAAGGTCTGCAGACTGTGCTGGACAACTGAACCAGTTCAAAGGCATTAATAGATACAGGTTCAGGAGATGATTACTGGGCCTTTTTGTCAGCCTGGGTCATATGTGGTATCTTCACAGCCACTGTAATTCCCATTTTTCTGAAGATACACTTGGTGCCAAATAGTGTGCATGTTTCCTCCTTTTTTGCAACATGTTTACTGCGTCCACAACTTTAGTTTTTATCCATTTTCTTCTACTTACCCAATTCACAGTTGTAGTTGGACTTCAGCCTTTCACAGGTTTCATAGGATGAGAGATGGGATTGATTGCCAGTCTATCATAGGGCTAACACAGATTAGATTCACCCATTAACTCACCATGCATGTCTGTGGGGGGGAACCAAAAAGCTCCAGAAAAGTCCAAGCTGCCCCATGGAGTTGAACCCAGAAACTTCTTGCTGTGACGCGATGGTACAAACCACCACAGCACGTCTTTTTGCATGTTTAAATCTAGTTTGGTTTTATTCACACAGTGGCACTTTATATTATAAAGGATAGAACTACAACAATGTGAGAAATACAATCCCTTTCCATCTTTGTGGTAGCCGTTAGCATCTTTAGGACTCATTAGCGCTTGCTAACTGGCGCTAATTAGCTCTAAGCATTGCAGAGTGTCAATATTTGTGGCTTATCTGGGTTCCTCATCTACAGAGAGATAACACTGTTAGCAACACTTAAATCACTATATCACTATTTACTCATAACTGTAATTCTTGTTGTAAAATAATTAGTTAGTTATTGGAAAATGTTTATTCAGTTATTTAGCACTTTTTGAGAAAGATGGTGGTGCTAAATGGAAAGAAAATTGGAAAAGTTCAAATTTACTGCCCCAGTTTTCTCTCAAAACAGCTAGCTTGGTTGAATTTGCAGCTTTAAGTAGTTATTATTGACTGAATATACATTGTACGTTTATGAATGTTATCGTGATAACGTACCAGAGCCAAACGCACACTCACAGAAAAAGAACGAGGCACAATCCTGCAGTGCTACAGTAAGCACTTCTGATCCCCGGCAGAAACAAATGGTCTCCTCTGTTTACAACTCCCTCCTGTGCATGTGTGTTTTTATCACATGCACCCAAGAGCTTTTATTTAGAGGAGAGAGAGAGATACAGTACA